AATGGGTCTCGTTTTGGGTTCTATGGCGTGCCCACTTTATTTGGATATCAGCACATTTTTCAACTGTGTGCAAGAGTGATAGTAAACAGTGGGCATACGTCGTCATTGCAAGCATTGCTATGGCGACCTCTGCTATTTTTTTTTCACTAGCAACCATTTTTAATGTATTTGCATAATAATAATTCAAAGTATTTTTATATTCTTATTAATGTATAATGACTGGCTTGACTGTGATTTCAATATAAATATTAATATCGAAGAAGGAAAAGTATTTTGCGACGTCTTGAAACACGTACATAGGGCAGGATATTGAAACCAATCCGACGAAAAACAACAGTGTTGCGACCCATGATTTGAAATGTTGTGTCGTTTATCGGAGTCAAACAAACAAACAAAAAAAAGCATTTGACCAATGGGTAACCAGTGATCGTAATTAAACGATCAAAATTGTTTTATTTAACTTTTTTTAAATTTTTAAAATTATTTTACCCTACTTGTAAAGTTTTTTTGAGCTCATTTTAAAAAATAATCTTATTTTGGTTAGAAATAAATTGTACAACCAACTCTTAAGCTAATTGATTATTATTTATTAATTAATACTCTTATTCGATCGAAAAAAAAAAGTGTTAGTACTCATTTTGATTTCATTAAAAAAAATATTGCAGATATAGTTTTTGAGTTCACGAGTAAATCGGAAGAGCTATTGTGGTCCACGCTTCGAACATCGGTCAGCAGAAGATATTCCCAAAATAGACATTCACTAAATAGACATTTATTTTGATAGGCAGTTGAAAAAAGAAATGTGGAAACCAGCGAAAAAATAAATTAAATGAAATAAATTGTGCTATATAAACAAAAAAACATATGTTTTTTTTTCTGCAGATATTTTTGGCATAAAAGAACAATTGGAGCGTGACTGACTTTCATTAGTCCTCTCCCACGACAAAAAAGAGCCATTTTTAGAAAGAAAAAAAGAATATTAGAATAAAATATAACAAACGACCATTTCTACTCTTCTTAAACATAGTATTATGTATAAAGTTTTGCAAATGGTACAGGTGCCATGTGACTCATTTCATCGGCACATACAAATGCCTTTTAACCCTGAATCAAGATATATTTCCTAACTGCGACTAGTTTAGAGCTTTTCCCTGCGATAAGTACTACAGTACCGGGCCATATTATAAGACTCACTATAAGATTCTATGTAAAATTACAATTATCAAGTGGTACTATACAGTTTATTAAATTCTTTGTGTGTGACTGAAACCGGTTTGCACTTGTTTACGCTCCTGTATCAATGGGTTAGCATTGCAATACAATACGTTAAAATTAAATACAAATAGGAAGTATGTAAAAAAAAATCTCCCGAATAAAAACCCATTACATGTATGTTTAAATATAAAAGTATTGCATATAAACTCGTGCAAAACATGTCATTATTAAAACACTACAGTGCGTCTAATAATTTGATCTAATTATTATAATATACTAATATAATGATTGATATAATAAATGTTCCATATTTATAAAATATATCGTGTAATTTATCCTATCGTCAAATTTATATAATATATCGTCCCATTTAACCAATTGATACACGAACGTTAACAAGTACAAACCGGTTTCAGTCACGTAAAAACAATAAAGCTGTATAGTATCACATGATAATTAAGATTTTACATAAAGTGTTATAGTGCGGTCTAATAATTTGGCCAGGAACTGTAGTCGATAATGTAAAAACTTCATTTCGTTCCAAAATGATAAGGGTTGCAAAAAAAAAACGACAGGTTACAAAATCTTTTTCTGAAATGAATGTTACATAAATGCAAGAGAGTTAGTGGAGAGGAGGTTAGGCATATTATAATAAAGATTGAGAATGAATGGGATACCTGCAAGTGACGTAGTGTGGGTATCTCGATCCTGATTGGTTGTTGAAACGTGGCATTTGTTTACGTTAGCAACTGTTCTTCCCATTCTATTTCGAAGAAGCCTAACCCGTGAATTCTAGATTCCTTCACGGAGATTTCAATTCTTACACTACATATTTCTTATTTAAGACAAAGACAGGCACGAAGTCATGTAGAACATAAATAAACTAATTATATTTCGAAGTTGCCAGGTACACAAAACAAAAATATATCACGGTTACGATAAAATAAATAAATAATAAATCTAGGTTAAGTAAAAGACGTAGAAAAGAACGAATTATATTTCAGCAAATTTGATGGCACTGTATTTAATTATCTTCGTTAATTAACATTCTAACTTATGTGGAGTAACTTAGCTAACTTTAACACGCCATTTTGCTTACAAACGATCANGTACACAAAACAAAAATATATCACGGTTACGATAAAATAAATAAATAATAAATCTAAGTTAAGTAAAAGACGTAGAAGAAATTTGATGGCACTGTATTTAATTAACTTCGTTAATTAACATTCTAACTTATGTGGAGTAACTTAGCTAACTTTAACACGCCATTTTGCTTACAAACGATCAGCTGACGCTGACGTCATAGGCCACATGTGTGGGTATTTGTGGTTTTCTTCTTCTTGAAGAGCAAATACCCAATCACATATTATGGTTGCTTCCTGTCCGTGCATCTTTAAACATATAATTTTCATTTATTTATTATTACCTAAATTTTTTTAATGTAATTATTTTCAAAAATTGCATTCAATTAAGATTTAGAATTAGCTTTTTTTCGAAATTGAATTAATTTTTGACAAGCTCATCAAATGCGTCACAGCCAGATATTTTAAAGACGCTAATTATTACGGTAATAAACAAATGGTTAACATAAAATTAAGATAATTTAACTAAATGCATGTAAAAGGCGTTATCTTGTACGGAAGAGTCACTAGTTTCTTGCCTAGTAACTTTAGTACTTTATGTTAAATATGCTATTAACAATGCAGCTACTAAAATTGATGATGCACAAAGTATTTTTACTTTTCATACAGTTAAAAAACAATTTAATACAAAGCAAACTAATAAAAATTAACAAATTTTAAGAGTAAGATTACTGTAAAAAATGGGAAACTGCAATTACTAAAAGTTATGGGTATCAAAAACTGCATCAATTAATGTTTGTCTTTATCATCCAATGGGCAGGATTGGTTTTTAATTCATGCCGTTATACGTTTCGTAAGACATCACAAAATTCTTTTCTTTCCACCAAGGCAGCAATTGTGAACAAGTTAATCATAAAAAAGAACACAAAAATATCTTACATTAATATTACATAAAAACATTAAAAGTGCTAAAAGCTGGTGAAAATAGGAGAATCTCAGTCTGGAAATCAATTTACTCCAAGAATTTCCAAAATTATCGTCTGCTTTTTTCTTTTTAATTTGATCTAGTTGTGCTGCTTTTTTATTAATGCTTATGTCAGCCTGGTTTTTTGTGGCTCTTACAACTCTATATTTATGATTATAGTGTTGATGAAGTCGAAAAGTATTCGAACATGAAAAATTTAGAACAAAGCCCGTTTTTCTAATGGGTAACAAAACAAACTAAAAAACTACTAAACAAATTAACTTTACTTTATTATTACGTTCCCTCGTGTACAGCCTCCACTGTACTCATGCCTTCAAATTTTTAAGCGCTGTACTGTATTACCCTGTACATGAAGCGTACCCAAATTGTATGATCAAATAATAAGATCAAATAATAATCAATACAATCGCTGGCCAAATTATTAGACGCACTTAAGATTCTACGTAAAATCTTAATTATCATGTTATATTATACAGCTTTACTGCTTTTACACGACTGAAACAGGTTTGCACTTGTTTACGTTCGAGTTCGAGTATCAATTGGTTAACATTGTAATGCAATACGTTAAAAATAAATACAAATAGGAAGTATATAAAAAATGTCTAAAAACCCATTTCATTTATGTTTAAATAGAAATGTATTACTTATAAACTCGTGCAAAATATGCAATTATTAAAAACCTTAAATACGTCTAATAATTTGGTCTAATTATTATAATATTATACCTGATACAATAAATATTCTATATTTATATAATATATCGTCTAATTTACCCGATCGTCGAATTTATATTATTAATCATCTCATTTTACCAATTGATACACGAACGTAAACAAGTGCAAACCGGTTTCAGTCACGTCAAAACAATAAAGCTGTATAATATCACCTGATAACTAAGATTTTGCATAGAATCTTACAGTTTAATAATATCACTTACGGAGTGTGAAGGGGCAACTTAAAGTCTTAAATAAGAATATACTTCTTTTTACCAATTGCAGATTTGAATTCTTCAATAAAAAGTACTACAACAGTTTTTTGTTCACAGATGATATTGTTATCGCTGAATAAAAATAGGGTTTAAATTGTTTGAAATGGAGATTTAAATTAACTGATTCTTCTCTTTTTTTTTTAAATAATAATAATTGTTTTAAATTAAACGGTTTTTACAAAAGATATCATTAATTTAAAAATTTCTATAATAGATATTTTAAATTTTGTCAGTCATCTGACAAAATGTGCAAAATATAAAATTAACATTCATGGAACAAAATTTTTGATTGCCTTTCTGCCTGAACTATCGATACCCTATTTTTCAAATTGCGGTAACTCCCCATATTTTGAGGGTCACAAATCTAAATGTTTAATAAAAATTTCTTTCTTTTATTTTATTTATTTTGCATTTTATTTTTTTTGCATTGTACATTTAAACATAATATACTTTTTACATTAATTTTAGATTGCGCTCGAGTTTTTGAGAGACACGACAGTAACTGCTAACGCATTTTTTAATCGACTTCACAGTTGAATTGTATTGACTGACGATTTCTTGTTCTTTTTTTTTATTATAAGAGAACAAAAGAACGAATCATTTTATCAAGACATAGTTGCAACAGCCTACAATCTACGTCGCAGGCTCCTTAAAAATAATACTTTTAAAAATCAAAAGATAACGCTTATTGCATTTAAATTGAAACTAAAGGAGTTAAAATATCTACCTCCAATGGCAATTCCTTCCACGTGTTCCTTATCTTCCGATAACGGCTTTCTAATTCTTCGTTCCAAAACCCGATAGCTCTGTTATCTGGAACGCCAAAGTCCAAATTGGGATAAACATCTCCCGTGTCAATCCTAGGAGAGGAGGGTTTCGGTGTGCCCACTTTGCAAGCATCGGAAGTGGTGGTCCACAACCTGTGCCACCAGGGAGGCGATGAGGATGGTCTGGGCAGCAGTCCGAAATCTTCCTGAGAATGAATGGGGAGGTAGTAAGAGAGGGTAATGAGGACGATTCCCGTAAAGAGGATGGAGAGGAGTGCTTTGGAGCGGAATCGTCTGTGGAACCTTGTTAGCATGTCCGACAAGTTGTTACATTAGTTGTGGAATGAAGCGTTTCACTCCTCGCTTGTTCGCTTTTTTTTATATAAAAAGAAGAAAAAAGTAGATAAAAAATCGCTTGCAACGGATGACAGTGATAAGGTGCAGTTTTCATTGGTTGTTTTTTTCTTTCTCTTTTCTTTTTTTAATGATTAAATTACATCTGAACGAATCGTTTGAATTAAGCGCACTGCAACAGTGGGAGAAGAATTTACTACATAAAACTAAAACTTCACGAAAAAAAAAGTGATTTAATTATCGTTGTTGGTAAAATTTGTGTAAGTGCTTTATAGTTTTAGTATGAAATTACGGATTTATTGAGATGTTTTAATCCTTTTTCTTTCTTTTAAAAAAATATTAATTAAAAAAAAATGTTCAGTTCGATGTGAAATGATTATCGTTATTGGTAAAATTCATGTAAGTGCTTTATAATTTTACTATAAGATTACGGATTTATTGAGATCTTTTAATCCTTTTTTTTTTTAAAAAAAAAGGTTAATTAAAAGGTACATTTGAAAAAAGTTTAGTTTGATGTGAAATGATTATCGTTGTTGGTAAAACTCATGTAAATGCTTTATAATTTTAGTATGAGGTTACGGATTCATTGAAATGTTTAATTTTTTTTTTTTTTTGTCAATGCAGTTTTTTTTTATGTAAGATTTTCCACCTTAGTTATTTGAAAAAATTGTACGTAATGCAGCGGTTTCCAAAAGATGTTTCCTGGAATTTCAGTGTCCCGTTAAAGGTACACAGGCGTTCTTAAGATTTCTTTTTTTTTAAAACCAGTTATAACTATATTTATATCCAATGAATAATTTATTCCATATTTCGAATATTTATTTATAAATATGCAATTGCCAATGAAAAAAGAAATCGCAAAGTAAAAATAATATATTCTTTTCATTGCAATTAACTGAATAAATAATGGAAAAAAATTCGTCAGTTTTTATGATTTTTTAAAATAAAATTTGAAAAATTTGATTGAAAATTTTTCAAATTTAAAATTTGATTAAAAATTTTATTTTAAAATAAAATAACCCAATAAAAGAAAAAACCTTTATGCTCCCCTGATGTCTCAACATAGTTCTTGTTCGAAAACCACAATTCAGATTTTTTAAATTTATTTTCAGCTAACGCGAGAGGAATTTAAAAGGCCACTCCAGACCAGTGAATCTCACTAACTAACATGAAGTCTAATTTTAACAATATTGATTAAACGATGAAAATATTTAAATCTTCAAATAAAATATTTCAAAAACAATTAGTAGTCTATTTTTTTTTCAATTTGAATATTCACAACTGCTCCTAGATTTCAATTAAAAGTCCACCCAAAGAATGCTAAGGAATCCGTAGCCTTAAAAAATGAAGAACCACTTTTCTATGGAATAAGCAAGCTATCCTTTTTTATTTTATAAATTTATTTGTTCATAATTTGTTCGTGAGTTCCATAACAATGGATAGCTGTTAGAATGATTTTTTTCTCTTCCTCTTTTGCGTTTTATGTAATTTCGAATCAATAATAATTATAAATAAATATAAAGGAAAAAAATATATTTATTAATTACTGTTTACTATTTCTAATAATTATTTACTATTTTCTCTTATTCAATGCAATAATGATCTTTTTTTCGATTCGTACTATTAGTTTACTATCTCGCTATATGTTGTTCAAATTATTAAATGGAATTTTCGGATTGGTTAAGCGTTAGTCATCGTTTCAAATTTTATTATAAGCGATTCAGTTTTTTCACATATTTTAAAGATAACAACAGTGATAATTTATAACCTAAGGGCTTTTTAAACAAAAAATAGTTTGTTGCGCACATTTAAGTATTTAATTATTTTATATCCGCTGCGTCAAAAAAAAATAAATAAATAAAGAGAGAACATTACGTGTTAGCACGTGTGGTCCACGTCATCAAATTTTTACTTTTATAGTTGTCTGATACCACGCGCCTTTTTTTTTAAATTTCCTACTATCAGTTCGCACTCTTCCTATATATATTTATCATGTTGAAATTTTAAATCTCTCTATTCTAAAAAAAAGTTTTTGCAGTTAATTTTGTCCCCTGAAAAACTTTTTAACTACGTGATGAAAATCTAAGATTAAGGAATCAATTCATTCAGAATCTTTCAGGGAAGACATTTAGGGCATTCAAATCTTTTACATAATTTTAAATTTTTATTTNCTCCACGTCATCAAATTTTTACTTTTATTGTTGTCTGATACCACGCGCCTTTTTTTTTCTTCTTCTTTCAATTCCGACTATTAGTCTCCCTATATATATATTTATATATCTTGTTCAAATTTTCAATGGTTAATAAAATATTTCCTAATCATAAAATCAAATTCAAACACATTTTTTAAACTTTTAGTGAATGACCCTTGATGCTAATGTACTTTTTTCAAATATAAATTCATTAATTATATTCAATTAATTAATTATAGATTAGATTTAGAATTAAATTCAGAGAAAAAAATCTTAATTATTTAATAATAAGTAATTGATATAAAATGTTACTTTGTTTACCTAAGTAGTAATTGACTTAACTTTTTTTTTTCTATATGTACTTGTTTTTAAATTATTAGGCAGAGAAGTTGTTGCACATCTTAAACAGAAGTATTATTTACATCACTGGGACAAACTTAGTTTCTTAACCTCCTCTTAGCAATCAGACCTAAGCAGCCTTTACAGGTTCACTTTAAGTTTTAAATAATGTAAGAACTGAATTCATTAATTAAATTTTACATCGAATAAAATTTTGCAACTTTCGATTTTTAATTAAACCGACTTACATTACTAATGCAGTTTCTATAAGACTTCGATTTTTTTAATTAACACATCAGGCAATTCAAAGCCATTTTTCATTTACGGTATCGCCAGTTTGTTAAAAATAATTTTAAAAAATAAACTTAAGTGCAAAGTAAACTACGATAATAATAGATAAACTGTTCCATTTTTAGGTAAATTAGAAGGGAAAAAAAAGAAAACTTTAAGTTGGGAGCTGAGGGTAATTAAAAGAGAAAAACATTTTATTCCGGAATTCATTCTAAATTATATTTCATGAATTAGCGTCCTTCTAATGCTGTGCCTGGGGACAGATGCCTCCCGTTAGCTATGCCATTTATTATGCATTATTACTTGACAAAAAGCATTATTACTTGACGAACGCCAAAATTAGAATAAAACACTGGATTAGATCCAAATTGAAATAAAGTAGAAGATAATCTAGAATGTAACAATTTGAAATGCAATTTTTTACGAACATAATAAGATTTTTATTTTTCGTATTGTTATCTCCCGTGAACTGTTCGGTGCATTTATTTCAAATTCTAGTCAACTTTAAATTAAATTAAGCTAATGGAAAAAAATATGGGATGTTTTTCGTCCACTTTGTGTAATGCAAAATTTTTAAAACAAATGCCTTTTTAAAGCTGCTGCTTTCTAATGAGATTCTTATCAAACTATATTTGGCTTAGAACAGAATAGAAATTAGCTTTTTTAATGGCTTTTTAACTTTTTTTTTTGTCTAAAATTTTATTAAACTGAAACATGTCAAATACTAAGCACATTTATAATAATAATATCAATCATCGATGGGCTATTGGAATTCAGAAATGAATGACGTTAATGCCGCAATCGGCTATACTGCTCCAAACACAAACGTCATTACGTACTCTAGGGGAAACTGATCATACGGTGTTGTAAGCTGAGGAGAAAAGATCACTTGGAAATTCCAGAGTAGTGAAACTCGTGTTTATGTATAAAGAAACAAATCCCACCCCAAAGGGTATAATATCGGGGATACGTAGCAATTTTCTTTTTGTATTACGTATGCATGCTTTTTTTAACAAAAACATTTCTCTGAGTTTTATACCTTTATCCTATTGTTGATTCATATTTTACCAAATGTATAATTTTTTAGATAATTTTTTTTAAATAAAATAATTTTAAAAAAAATCACAGCTATTAGTTTCGCAGAATAATTAGCAAAAGATAATCAGAAATTGTATCCCAAGAACTATGCACACAGCCATCACGAAACTTTAAGGAGTCTGAGACTGAGACAAAGAAAATATTTCGATTACATAAATTCTCTTTCTTTTGGTAACCCTTAAGCTAAATTTAGAGAAATAAGTTTCTGTGATTTTAGTCACTGAAATAAATAAAGAAACAATAACTTGTGCCATTTTTCTATCCCGATTTAATTATAATAAACGATTAAATTAGCACTTATTTGAGGAATTGTCGAAAATTTTTATTTATTTAAATTTTATGTATAGGTTAAATTTTTTATCAATGATACATCAAGCGAGTGGTCTTTATAAATGAGAAATTTTGCTTTTACACGTTCTGGCTAAAATGTTTCAAATAATCAACTAAAATGTTTTAAATATATCTTATTTTCTACTTTTAAAATAAGAGCCGTGATGGAGCAGGGGACGGAGCGTTCGCCTTTCAGTTAGGTTAATCGGGTTCGAATCCCAGCGATGGTTGGCCAATATGAATAAATCCCGCACCCGGCTCGCTCTGAGCACAGTGCTGAAGTAAAAAATATCCTTAATGCTAAACGGATCATGGTTTTGAGACTCCTTCCAGTCAAACTAACAGTGGGAGGGTTCCGTGGTCTTCCTCACCATGTAACGCAAATGTGTATTAGTTCCATCAAGAAGTCCTCTACGAAGGCAAATTTTCTCCCATAACTTGATCCAGTAGGTTCTTTGTCTTCTGGAGAGGGTCGGCAGTTTAACAACGGTGAATATAATTAAAAAATAGTGTCGTAACTTTTTGATGGAAAAAATTATGCTGCTACATTCTTTTTCGCAGTACAATATTTCCGTACGAGTTTTTCCTTACCATCTAACGCAAATGCGAGTTAGTTCCATCAAGAAATTTTCCACAAAGGCAAATTTTTCCCAATATTTGATACAGGCGTTCCCTTGTCTTCTGGATCAGGTTCTAAATTACACGGCTATGGANCTGAGCATAGTGCTGAAGTAAAAAATATCCTTAATGCTAGACTGATCATGGTTTTGAGACTCCTCCCAGTCAAGCTAACCGTGGGAGGGTTCCGTGGTCTTCCTCACCATTTAACGCAAATGTGTATTAGTTCCATCAAGAAGTCCTCCACGAAGGCAAATTTTCTCCCATACCTTGATCCAGTAGGTTCCTTGTCTTCTGGAGAGGGTTCTAAGCTACGAAGTTGAACATTAGTAGTCGTAAACACAAA